AACTGCATTTCCGGCAGGTACCGATCCCATGTACGCTGGTTACGGCTCGTATACTGCGCGAGCATGGTTTTTATCACCCTGTTCTGCCGTACTTCGGGATTACACGGGAGTGTGTACGGCGGAGTTCGACGGGCTCTGATTCCGGCGTCGCGGAGCATATCACGGAATTCTCGGCTAATAAACTGCCGCCCGTTGTCGGAGATCAGGGTTTCCGGTGCCCCGTGGCGTAGGACTACGCTCTCGTAAATGCCCCGGGTTACGGCGGTCGCGGTTGCTTTACAAAGTGGCCGGATTTCCGTCCACTTAGAGAACTTGTCCTGTGTGGCTAAGATCCACGTATGCCTGGCACTTGATCGCAGTAACGGCTTAATTAAATCCACGGCTACTATTTGCCACGGGTGTTCGGCGGGAGTAGCGTGCATACGCCTTGGCGTGCTTTGTTGGGAGGGCTTGTGCTTGTTGCACGAGTCGCAGGCTTTGACGTGATTGGCGGCGTCCCGGAACATGTCAGGCCAATAGTATGTCCGGGCGAGTCGGGCTATAGTTTTCGTTATGCCCATGTGTCCGGCGGTGGGCGCGTCGTGGTGTTCGCGGAGGATCTGTTCACGGCTTCTGGTCGGTACGCATCTTTTCCATTCCTCACCGGCGTCGTCCTTATTGAGAAAGTGGAGGATGCGACGGTATAATTGGTTCTGCCGTATGCAGTCATCCGGATGGTCGTCCGGGTTATCTACAACGGCCTGGTACATTCGGCGGTACCACTTGCAATTACCCGCGAAGCCAAACGGCGCACGTTTCCTCGGTGACTTCTACGGGATGTCAGAATAGGGTATCCGCGACTTGGTTCAACGCCCCCCTTTGGTAGCGGATTTCAAAGTCATATTGCTGTAATTCAAGGGCCCACCGCGCAAGACGGCCGGTCGGACTACCTAATTTTTGCAACCTTTTCAAAGCTTGCTGGTCAGTAATTACCACGAAGTGGTATCCCTCCAGATACGCGCGCATTTTTCGGATTTCCCAAATTACAGCAAGGCACTCCTTCTCGGTCACGCTGTAATTCTTTTTCGCGCTGTTGACGGTACGGCTCGCATACGCGACTACCCGCTCCTGCTTGCCGTGATACTGGGTCAGCACGGCCCCAAGCCCGGTCTCGGATGCGTCCGTTTACAAGAAGAACGTCTTGCTAAAGTCAAGGAGGGGGCAAGCTAGGACCGGCGCGGTAGTGAGCGCATTCTTTAGTAACGTAAACGCCTCCTGTTCTTTCTCCGCCCACTGCCACTTGGCCTTTTTAGTGGTTAATTGAGTGAGCGGTCGGGCGCGTTCTGAAAAGTTCTCGATAAACCGGCGGTACCATGAGAGAATCCCCAGAAATTGGCGTACTTCACGTACGTTTCGCGGCGGGGGGATGCGTGTGATGGCTTCCGTTTTCTCGGGGTCGGTACTAATACCGTCACGGGTGACCAGGTAACCTAAATACCGGAGCTGGCTGGCTCCGAACCGACATTTTTCCGGATTGATGCGTAATTTTGCTCGGCAAAGGCGGTCAAATACTTCCCGGAGATGCCGCAGGTGGTCGTCCAGCGTCTGGCTCACGATAATAATATCGTCCAGGTAAACAAACACGTGCGACTCGAGCTCGGGTCCGAGGATAGTATCAAGTAGCCGTTGGAATGTGGCTGGGGCGGAATGCAGCCCGAAGGGCATCACCTTGAACTGCATGAGTCCGCGTCCCGGAACCGTGAACGCGGTTATCGGTTGGCTTTCGGGAGCGAGAGGTACTTGCCAATACCCGTACTTTAGATCTATTGTTGACAGGTACTTTGCGCCACGGAGCTTATCGAGAGTGGCCTCCGCCTGAGGCAGTGGATAGGCATCCTTTTTGGTGATTTCGTTCACTTTCCGGAAGTCTATGCAAAACCGCGGACGACCGTCTTTCTTTTTTTGCAATGATTACCGGCGAGTTCCACGGGCTGTTAGACGGCTTTATTACTCCGGCGCGTTCCATCTCCTCAATCTCCTTATCAATTATTGCCTGCATAGCAGGGTTCCGCGGCCGGTATCTCTGTTTGATCGGAGCGGAGGTTTTTAACCGGATACGGTGGGGTGATACTCTATTGACCACAGTACGATTCGACACCGCTCGATTCGACACAGATTTATTCGACACGAAATTATTCGACACCGTACGATTC